GAGACATTACAGAAACCAAATTTGAAAGCACAAACCTCTGACCCTACCGCATCTGCTGAGGTGAGCAGCTCCAGAGAAAATGCTTTCATTACCGGAGCATGAGGAAAACACAGCACCCAGGAGTCTCGACCCTGAGCGGCTAGAGCCACCAAAGAAACTCCATACCCTCAACAGACCTTGCACAGAACTCAGTCACGCTCTTGAGGGGAATTAGCTAATTTATAGGGGGAGGTGCTAGGAGGGGTGGCCCTGAGCGGGTGAAACACCGCCCTGGAGGCGTGCCGAGCAGGGTCTGATGAGGATGTTTGCACGGGTAGGTGAGTAGGAGGGGTCTTATAGCAAAGTAGGGGGCAGGTGTGAGTTCAGTTCTCCGCCATAGGGACAGTGATCTGGAACGGCGTTTTCTCCACAGAAAGTGAGGAAGACTTTTTGCTGGCCGGAAGGACAGAGTAACTCAGGCCGAGGTTCCTCATAAGCACACAGCTGAGCAGGCATCTGGCTGCAGTGAGTGCCAGAGCCTGTCGGCCATGTTAGGTGGCAGCTGTGTAAGATGGCGGCAGCATGTTGATGATTTGCTCTGTGGTGGCAGAGCTGTAGGAGAAGGTGGACCAGCTAAGGGGCATAAGGGAATCTGAGGAGGAGGTTGATTGGTGGACCTGCACTCTTACCATCCTTGAGAGTAGCAAGCCAGCCACCCAAAACAACTGAACTTTAGGATCCCCTGCCTTCTTGCCATTGGGCAGATGGAAGGAACCTAGGAGACAGGGGAGGTTGGAAATGGGTTACTCCTATCCCCCAGCTGCATGACCTTCCCAAACACCCCTTTACAATAGATAGGAGGCCCTGGTACTTGAGCATCAGAAAAGTGAAGAAGGTGATCATAGAATCATAGAATGGTTTGGGTAGGAAAAGACCTTTATATCGTCCTGTTCCAACCTCCTGCCATGGGCAGGGACACCTCACACTAGACCATGTCACCCAAGGCTCTCTCCAGCCTGGCCTTGAACACTGCCAGGAATGGGACATTTACCACTTCTTTGGCCAACCTGTTCCAGTGCCTCACCACCCTCACAGTAAAGAGTAAATATCTAACCTGAAATTCCCCTGTTTAAGTTTAAACCCATAATCCCTTGTCCTATCACTACATTCCCTGGTGAAGAGTCCCTTTCCAGCATCCTTGTAGGCCCCCTTCAGATATTGGAAGGCTGCTCTGAGGCTGCTATGATGATAAAGGATCATCCAGGTTAGAAGATTTCCCACAGAAAAGTGAGAGAACACCTGGTTTTAAGACTGGCTGTACTATAAAAACAGAAGAGTGGTGGTGATTGGTGGTGATGGTGACTCCACACTAAGGGGAACATCCTGATCAAGAAAAAGAATAATCTGGAAAGCAAAATACCTCCTTCAAAAGCTGCCTTTTCTGCTGAGAAAGCATGGGAATGTCCCTGCAGAGCTGGAAATGCTGTTTGTGTGTGATGTGCTGCTGCTGTGGGTTCAGCCAGCAGAGCAGGATGCAAACTTTTGACCTGGGTGACTTACTTGTGGGTGTGATGGGGTGAATACTTGCTTTTTCCCCCTCAGAATGGCTCACAAAGTGTTGATGCATTGCAGGTATGTCTTGTGCTCTGATTTATTCTCCCGATTTGATAGTCCTGTATTGTTTAGAGAGGAGGTTGCTGTGCAGGAGGTAAGTTATGCTTCAGTTACAGACTTGGTTTTGTTCTTGCAGGGCCTGTGACATTGCTGTCGCATGGGATGTTACTGTAGAGCTTGTGATCCCTCAGAGGACAATGATCCCCTCTGCTGTGTATCCTGGAGCAATCCTTCCCAAAATAGATCCACCTCAGGGTGAGTGGTTTTGGGTTTCTCTTCAATAACGTGTATGTATGTGTGTGTGAGTTGCAGCTTGCCTGCTCGCTGCACTTCAGCACAGTGTCAGGGTGTAGTTAGTCTCTGACCTGGGCAGGTCAGAGAGCAAAGCCAGTATCAAACTCCATCCTGAGCATAAGGCCAGGATTTATGTTGCAGCAATGGTTTCTGGCTCAAACTCTGGGAGCTCATCCATCAGAAATACTAGGGAAGAAGGAAGTTCGGGGTTTATTCCCTCAAGGAAAGTAAGAGTGAGTGAGTAACTCAGGAACTTAGGACAGCACAACATGAAGTGTTTCTGATGGAGGTGGTGGGTTTACAAACACTAGAAAGCCTTCACCCTGGAGTAGTCTGTGTCAGTCACAGCCCACATGTTCAGGAAAGGCCAATTTTAAAGGAATTCACAGAGATGTTGCTGAAGGATTGGCAGAATGTGCCCTTTGGAGGAGAGAAACTGCAAAGAGCTCCCAGCTGTGTAGCCCATAAGGCAGGATCTCTTTTTGGGATCTCATTTGTCACTGTTCTTGAATCTCAGAAGTAAATACTGGGACACAGAACCAAAATGTTTAGCTCCAGAACAGTAATGAAAGGGCACCTAGTGGGTATAAAGGGGCACTTTTTGCTCTCCTTTCTCCTGTGTGGCTTAACTGCCATTCTCTGTCTTTTATTAGATGAAAAGGTAACAGGAAATGGGGTTTGGCCATGGTTATTTTCTTTAGCCAGTGACAACTGAATGGATGGTAGCTGGAGACTGAGTTAGAGTCAGGCAAGAGGAAAATGGGCCTCGGGTGACTTTGCTGGTGTTTGTGGGGCAGGGACCATTCTCAGTGCAGAGAAACAAGGGCAGCATTACTTCTGGAACCTGAGTACAGGAGCTCAGGGGGCTCAGCAGCAGAGGTTGGGATGGAAGGTGCAGTGTGAGTGCAGAGGAGTTTGATCTGAGACGCCAAAGACCTTTGTCGTTTCACTTCAGCATGCCCATGTTGCAGCCATAGTGCTGCAGGGAGGCTGCAGCAGAGGTGCAAGGTGAGTCCTGGACACCTCTAAGCTCATCTCTAAAGATCCTGCTTTACAAAAGCAGCCAGGATCCAGTCTGGGCGGGCAGGACAGGGGCCCAAATCCCACTCCACGCAGGTTTCCAGCAGAAACAGCTCCTGTGGCTCTGAAGGGTTGGGGTTAGGTCTGGTTGGAGTGAGGCTGAGGGTTAGTTTCCAGCTGCTGGAAATCCATCTGTAGGGGGTTTGGAGGGTGCAATCATTCTTGCCTTAATTCCTAACTCTGTGTCTCAAGATGCTTTACTGACTGACTGTGGCTGGGAAGGGAACAACTATGTACTACACTGCTGAGCCAATGAGGAAGTGATGGTTTTGTAGAACTGGAGTTTAGAATTCCATGGAGCAAGAAATTCCTTCAAGCTCCCAGGGCTTGAGGATAGGTAGCAGACTGATCAGTGACCCTTTTGGATAAGAGGAAGGGTAACAACTAGCTTCAGAAAGAGGAGGAGGGTGAGTGTGATTTTGACAAGAGCAGCAAAACAGGAGACAACTGTGTTCCTACATGAAGTTGGTTCATGGTAAAACTAAAAATCACCCCCATGAGATAAGAGACCCTTGCCCACAGAGACCTGTGGATGTGTCATTCCCCTCGAGAAACGTGCACCTTGCTCTCCCCTATTCCGTACAACTCCTATTCCACGTCCCTGTGCTTTGAACAGCCTGGAATGCTGTGGTGCTCCCGCAGCACCTCCCTGCTCCCACAGCTCTTGTTTTCCCTGCGCCCTTCCTTTCATTTCACCTCACAGCAACAGGCGCCGTTTGTCCGCTAGGGGGCGGCACGGCACCGGTCCCGGCCCGCCACTTCTCGCCATTGGTCGTTCCTCCCACCCTCACCGCGGGAGCCGGCAGCCGCTGATTGGTCAGTCGGGTCCGTAGCGGGTGCCACCCCCGAGGCTACCGCTGGCCCCTGTGTGCGGTACGACTAGCAGCCGCCAGGGGGCGCTCCGGCGGCGGAGCAGGTACTGGGTGGTCCCCCTGGAGGAAAGGGGGTTCTGTCGCGACCCGAGTCGGGCTCCAGGCGATCTGCGGGTCCCGCCGTGCCCCTGGCGAATCCCGGGCCTGGGCAGGGCTGGGGCTTGTGTGTGTGTGTAGGGGGGGGTGTCCGGGCCCGGCGGGACTGAGCGGGGAGAGCCAGAAAGGGGGGCGGGTGCAGTCCCGATAGCGCTGGGGTAAGGGCTGGCGGGACCCCGGGTCTGCTGCAGCCACCCGTTGGCGGGGTCTGTGTTCGAGGGGGGAGGGGGTCCCTGAACTGCACACGGGGACACTATAACTGTCCCACACGATGTGCTTGGGGTCGATACCGTGCCTCGGGACTGGCTGGGCGGGAGCCGTGTCGGGGATCCCCTGTGATGCAGTTAATGTTTTTTTTGTGTGTGTTTTAAAGTCCTCGTGTGACGCGAGTGCTGCTGGATTGGCCACATCCTGGAATGAGACACATTCTCTGGGCTGCACCCAGGGCAGGCCAGGAGGCTTTGGGCTGTGCAGGCTGGATGTTCCCGGACATCACCTTGGCACCAGAGCCCCTGGCCTGGATGAGCCATCTCTGTCCCTGCAAAGGGATGGACACATGGATGGGCAGAGGAGCCCCAGCCATGCTGGGCTGTGTAGAGCCCCAGAAGAAGGAGGGCTGCCGACGCTGCCACCTGCCCTGTGGCAGTGAGAGGAGTGCATGGCTCCAGGATGGACATGGGCACAGGTTGGGGATTTGGGCCCTGTTTTGCTTTTGGGTTCGTTTTGGGGTTGGGTTTGGTTCGTTTGGGTTGTGTTGTTTTGATTTTGCTTGTTTGACTTGGGTTTAGGTTTTGATTTGGGTTTGGGTTGGTTTGTGTGTTGGTTCAGGTTTCCATTTCTTTCAGGCCCAGTTTCTGTTCATTTGCAGCTCCTCTGGTTTGGTTCAGCTCCAGCTCACAGACAGCTCTGACCAGTTTGAGCTCCCAGGAGCTGACTGTGCCACATCTGTCCCTTCACAGGAATGGACAGAGGAGCCCCAGCCACAGTGTGTGCTGTGTGAAGCCCCAGGAAGCAGCTGGGCTGCTGCCCGGCACTGCTGCTGCCCTTGCCTGCACCTGCCCGCAATGCTCCAAGGACTGTACAGCTCCAGCTTGGACACAGCTCTGGGTTTGGGCCTCCCTTTCTTCTTGGTGATGGGGTTGTTCTGAGGTTGTGTTTGGTTATGAATGTCGTTTAGTTTTGGGTTTGGATTTGGTTTGATTGAGTTTGGGTTTGGGTTTTGATTTAGGGTTTGGTTGTTTTGTGTGTTGGTTCAGGCCCCCTTTTAGCCACAGCTCCTGAACATCTACATCTCCAGTTCAGTTTTGGCTATAGCTCATGTTGCTTTCTGCTCTGGGTTCAGGTCGATCCTGCAGACAGTTCCAGCTCATTTGCAGCTTCAGGTCAGTGGTTTGCCCACATAACAGCTCGATATTTTTTTTTGCAGCTCCAGCTCATTTACGGCTCAAGGCTTGACTGCAGCCTCAGGTCTCTGTTTCTGCCCTCTTTTTTTTCCAGGCCCAGCCCCTGGATGGCTCCGGTTCCATTGTGGCTGCAGCTCATGTCCATTTCTAGCTCTGTTTGCTGTTTCAGGTGCAGCCCCAGTCAGTTACAGCTTGTGCTTGTTGAACTGAGGCTGGCTTGTGGCCAGGTCAGGAATCACTCACTGTCACAACACGTAGATGAATATAACCTGTCATAATTGTTCACCATCCAGCTCTGGGCTAACAAACACCCAGGACTCCTGTGGTTGTACATGCCTTGAGTAAATAAAAAGTTGAAGCCCAAACAAAGTGTGAAAAGCACCTTTTGCCTATCTCAGATGTTTAATGCAGCCTGGTGCATGCCGGCATCCCAGCATTTGGGGACCAATGCGACTGCACCCCTCCACCCCTGTCCCACAGCGTAACAGTCCCCAGCCCAGCCCTGACCCCAGAAACACCTCATAGCGGCTTGCTTCTGAGCCCAAAGGTAGCAGGACTTAAGTTCTGGCCCAGGCACGGGGCCGAGGATCTGTTCTATGGCCGGGAAATGCCTGGCTGGGTACAGCCCCGGTCCCAGGTCGAGAGCACCAAAACACCCTCCTAAGCCTGCAAAACACGCTCCTGAGACCCGAACCGCCCCTGACTGAGCCGCAAACCGGCCCTAGTTGAGGCTTGCCCCGTGGGACGGCCTCGGGAGCCACGGCCTGGCCGGGCGGTGCTTAGGAACTGGCTGGGGGGACCCACGGGGCGAGCCCTGACCCGGGGAGCCGCCAGCGCCTCGAGCGAGGACGGAGGTCACCGGCTCTGGACCTCAGGGCTTTATTCCCAGAGCCCCGCCGCTCCTGCGTGCGCTCCCCACCGGGTCCCAACCCCCCCCGCGCCTCACCTGGGCCCCGCTGGAGGAGCCCGGAGCAGCGGCGCCGGTGGGGAGCGAGCCAGATGGATGGCGGACGACGGCGGACGATGGGGCTCAAATCTCCTCCGCCCCGCTCCACGAATGCTCTCGAAGCTCCCCCACTCAGCTATGTACTTGCGCTGGCCGGGGTTGGGTAGTTTAGTGTCAGCGTTGTCCGCTCCCCGGGGCCCTAGCGGTGCAGCGGTTGTGCCGGCGTCCGGCGTTTCCCGGGGGCTTCGCGGCAGAGCTGTTCTCGGGGCACGGCCGGTAACGGGGAGCGGTGTCCAAGATCCTCGCTGCCCGTGGCCGCTGCTTGCGCCGGACAGGGGCTGTCCCGCCGGGGCTTCGGGCACAGTACGAGATCGCGGAACGAGGGCGGCGGCTTCATGCAGAGCCCGAACCGAGACGCCCTCTACCAGCCTGCTTCTCCAGGACAACACTGCAATAGAAGGAAGGACCCCTCCATATCTCAAATCAGCTAACACAAGCAACGTGTAATGTCACCAAGCAGAATCTGTACTCTCCTATTTGTTCATCGGGGGTTGTTTCTACTTGGGCTGTGGCTGGGAGGAAGTGCTCAGTTGCACTGGGACACCATTACCTACTCATCTTCCTGAATTGTGCCTCTACTTCTCAACGGTGACTCAGTAATAGGCTAGGTATACTGATATTTATAGCCCACCTCAAGGCATTTTCTAGCTCTTCCCTAGTCAGTAGGCTTTATTGAAGATGTTTTACTATACAAGCAGAGTCCCTTAGCCTGTAGGATCCCTACTTTAAAAAACCTGTATCCCTTGCAGGCTAGTCTTAGCTGAGACAATATGGCCTGCATTTCATCAGTGGCAGTTACCTGCAGCTTTTCCATTTCAGCTTGAGCTAAGGATGTGTTTAGCATTTCTAAAGACTCGCATCTATTCAGGGAAGTGTGTGTGCTACATAATAGAGAAAAGAAACCAAATTACAGATCATATGCATGTGATTTGTTCTAGGGTAGATTAGAAATGATATAAAGCATCTGTCCGCAAATGCTGTATTCTTTAAAAGTCACTTTGGAAATGACTGAATAGTATGGAAATGGAAGCTTTACAATTATGATTACAGACAACATTTGGCTTTGTAAACTTTATTGTCTTATCCCTCATCTGAAATGCTCTGTGCCTGCTTTAATCCCAGCAGTGTTTTTTTTTCTTATAAAAGGAAGAAAAATTAGTCTGGTATGTGAGACTATAACAGGGGAAGGAGGGTTGTTAGGAAAATCCACATATCCATCTGTAAATCTCCTTTGGTGCATTCACTCAGCCCTCTACAATAGTTAGCTGTATGCACTCTGGGAGCTCATTTCTCCACAGCACTGTTCTTGGCATAAGGTTAGCTGTAAATAAGGCTGAAATATGGACAAATCTTTTTAGTCCCATCATCTCCAAAAAAGGCAAAAGATTAAAGAAAGAAGCTATAACAGAGAAGAATAATCTTACACTTACATAAAGAAAATCTACTTTATCTAACTCACACTAAAGGCAGCTCTCTTTTTATACGTGTTGGGTATGAGATGGCATGTGTGACAGTGGCACTCCTTGATCTGCCTGCTTATAGCCCTGACCAGTGCCCCTGGTACTGCTGACTGGAATCAGAGCACTGTTGAATAAGCTTTATTCCCTCTGCTTGGGGCTATGGTAAGCAAACAGAAGTCTGTCTGGTGACTGTTCTCTATTTTCCTAACTCTGCAACTATTCTGTGCTCTGGCTGATGTAGGTAAGAAAAGGCAGCCCTACAGATAAATAGTGGAATCATCCTCACATTGAGCCAGTCCTGAAGGCTCAGTACGGCAGTAGCTTTTATCTTGTTTTGCAGAGCTTTTCAGTGCTACAGCAAATGAGAGAGGAAAAGAATGTGGCGTCTCTTTTCACACTAGACTTTCCTAGCTGGTGGTGGCAAGGTGCCATCAGTTTTGTGGAGGAGGAAGGTGCACATCCAACCCTAGTTTGGGAAAGAGACCACATACACAAGTTATGCAATCATCTTGAATTTAGATTGCTGACCGGAATACTCTCCAAGTACTACTTCACTATTTACTGCTTTATAGACCTCAGTGCAAGAATTCTATTACAGCCAGAAAGCTTAACACAAAGCCAACCAATCACCCATACAATCCAAGTGAATCTATCTACAAATCCAGGCATCTCTCTGTGAATAACCTTTGGTATCATTCATTTGGCCTTATTCCTGAATGTAGCTCTGTACACAAACCTCCCTCTTGGGTGTGGAAACATATGTGGCTCCATCTATCTCACAGCTGGCTTTGCCTTCTTGCATAATAATTGTGCAGAATCAAAAACAATGTAAGAACTCACCATCAACACTAGAGAGGCTTGCACTTTGGCTTACTTTTCTAATATATCTGTAAATATATAGCCAAATGACCACATCTGTTATGGAGCAGAATACAACCCCATAAAACCCCTCATGTACTTTTCTTTCCTCCACAAGTCCAAGGCCACAGGCCCCTAGAATCAGAACAGCCAACATACTTCCTAGTTGTGAGGACAGCCTACTTCTCAGCACATGTTCTGATTCAGTGGGTAAGACTACATGTTAAACAACAGCCTTGGTGATAGCACCTCTGACTACTGGAGGCATCAGTGTTTGGGGCCTATAAAACGAGGCTGGGAGCCAAACTTATCCCCTTTGCCCTGAAAAAAAAAAGATACATACAACAAAACCACATCTGAGGAGGATGAAACCATAGTATTTACCAAGTCTATTGGAGGAAAACAGGATATTTACAGCCTGATGGTAAAGGTCAATGGATAAGTACTATAGTTTTATCCCACAGATGAAACATTGCCAATAAAGAACTCAGGAGATAACATGGTTAGGTTCCATTTGGAGCCTGAAGAACTGGAAGTGGCACACTGAGGTTTACCCAGTTTCATTCAAATTGAAGTATTTTCTTCAAACGTGCATGCATTATGGCCATATGTTGAAGTCATGCTGACATAATTGGAACAAACACTGAAAAGTGAATGATGTTAAAAATCCCACTGCTTTCTGTAAACCAGGTTTTAACACTGATGTTTGCAGTCAAAAATCCAGTGTCTGCTTTCTAAAAAACAAGTTTGAAAACTGAAATTTTCACTGGTCATGTTTGGGATATACTGGATATAAACATAACCAGTGAGTTGGCAGCTTGTTCTGAAGATAAATTCACACTCCCATTTGAGAAAGGAAAAGGCTATTCCACTCGAAGAAGCCTGATGTTTATCCTGCTTTTAATTGATGTCTCCATTATCTGACCTCTCAAATGGACTACAAAAGCAAACATCACAGTACGTTTCTGACTAGCCTAATCTCCCCCTGTCCAGACGGAGGTATTGATTTCAGTTGAAGATTAATCAATGCTGAACTATAACCAATTGCATTCAGTGTGAATTAGGTTCCATTTAGAGTTTGAGGAACTCAAACTGTCACATTGTTTGGGGACTGCTCAATTTATTCAAACTGAAGTGTTTCCTACACGCACACACACACATCACTCCAATTCAGTGTGAGAAGTCACTTAGTATAGCCAAACTGTGGCATTCAGTGCCTCTATTGACATTGCAACCCAAATTCCAGCTACTGAAGTTCTCAGAAACTGGAGTAAAAATAGCATGTATGCTTCTCTGGCCTGGTGAAACAAGCCTGTCTTCTGATCACGTAACAGGTTTTTTCTACAGACTGCTGCCTAATCACATAATGTTGACATTGTGGTGCATAATATAATGCTCCTTTGCAGCATTATACACCAGAGTGTTGTTTAAATATATATAAGCAGCATACTGCTTAAGCAATAATTTTTCTTCCTCTAAGCAGTTGCAACCGTGAAGAAAACATTGGATCTGTATTTCCAAGTTATTCTTCTACATATTTCTTTCCAGAACTAGGCTAAGGCTGAAAATTAACTTCCACAGCAACATTCTAATATCACAAGCAAAATTAACTGTGTTTCTGAAATTACATCAGCAGCTGGCAGCACTGGAAAATTCTTCATATATAAAGGCTTCAGGATATATTTGCCATGTGATTCTGAAAACCCAGTTCCTTCTTTTAGAAAGTCTTGCTAATAACTACGAGCAGGAGAATGCAAAAAGGGCAGACAGAACAGTGAGTATATGTTAGCATATGCCATGATGTATCAATAATCCTTTGTTAGTTCCTTTTTATGCTGTCTTTTAAAAGATACATAAAAAGTCATGTCTGTCATCTTCATTCACTGGCAATCCATCAGTTTTCATTATTTATTTTCTACAGTTTTTCATGGTTATAGAGGAAAGTTGCACAGACATAGCACACACTATTTGCTGTTCTTTGAAACTCTTAAAGGAAAAGTATTGGCCTATCCTCACATTTCAAGTCCTTTTGAATATGTGACTAAGTCACAGAAAAAAAAGTATCCTGGACCCACTCCAGGATGGAATTCTTAAAGGCAACTCCCAGAATTGGGAAACAAAAATCCCATC